GCGGCCGTACTGTCGACCAACGACATGTTCCCGGCTACAATCTCGAGGCCCCAAAGGAAATCTCCGGAGACAAAAATGAAAAGAGCCCTTCTGAAGATCACTGCATTACAGCGGAGTGATGCAATCAAAAGCGCCTCTCACATTCCTTGTCCGATCAATCCACGCGCCAAGCAGTAGCTAAAGCTCAGCCGCAGCCCGCTTACAGTTACGGCAAACGGAGGAGTCATAACGGATCTTGCCCGGAGGTCTGTACAAGTCGGTGACCATCCTCCCGCACAAAAGAAATCGACGATTATGAGTAAGAATCATATGCAAAAGTCGTGTCCGCTGGTGTTGAAGAAAATATGTTCCCTCAGCCGGCTCAGGATTGGCAAGAACCCTTTCCGGTTCAGTGTCGGCTTCAGAAGAGCTACTACTACCAGAGCTACTCGAGCTGGAGGAGCTCGAATCATCAGCCTCGGCAGCATCATCCCCGGCCTCGAGAACGCCTTGTTCGGGCAAGCTCGAAGTACCCGCCTCCTCCGCGTCTCCAGCAGCATCATGAGGAGGGTTCGCCAGACAATCCAAGCCTTCGGCGTCCAAACGGTCGTTGTTCCCCTGCGACATAGCATCGTCGGACTCCTTGCCGAATTGGTCCACCCGGAGCCAAGAGTTCCCAGCTGAAGATGGATCCCGTCTTGGTGGCGAAGATCCACCCAATCGCGGCTCCGTTAAGCCACCGCCCTTAAGGTACGCAGCACGGCCTGCGTCGGGATCAAAAATTCCTGACTTGATTTCGTAGATCAAAGCAATGAGCAAGCGCAGCGGTCTAGCAAGTTCATCTCCCCCGTAGACATCGGCCATGCCTGCTGAGTTTGCATGGCCACCGAGAACAAGACGGTCCAGGTGCTCCACTCCCCTCTTCGTCGCCATCGTTAAGAAAGTTCGCTTAAGAGTGTGGCCCGAAGTCCGAAGGTGTTCCCGATCACCGCAAACCTTGCGCAGCCATCGAGCGATCTCCTCAGTGGACACCGATGCTCCAGTAGGGTC